CCCGCCCCCACCAGAGCCCCTGCCCCACCCATCCTCCAGGAAGAATCCAGCAACATCTGGTTAAGTGGTTTCCTAGCAACAAGAGCAATCTAAGAAAAAACAATCCCCTGAAGACAGGGGTGGCCTGGGAGCCAGGGGCACCATGGCAGATAAGAAGTGGCTATTCGGGTCAGGGTCAAGGGAACCGATGCCTCTGGGCATGCACTGCAAGCCCTGGTACAGAGACAATCTACCTTCCAAGTGTTTTGCGAAACACAAGGTTCTCAAATTCCCTACCTCCCTGGATGGTAAGCGGTGGAGATTTGTGAGAGAGGGGCTGGATGATTTCAGGAAGGGCTGCCCGCCTTGTGACGATCTGATCACTCGTGGCCCTCAGAAGGGCTTCCTCCCCGTGATTCCACACAAAGTGCCCCAACCTGCCCCCCCGAAGAGTCACAAATCGCTGGTCAAAGATGCAGGCCTATTTTCCAAGCTCTCGCCAGCCCAGCTTGAGCGGAAGGCATTCATGGCGGACGTTGACAACCATCTGACGCGGCATCCCTTGTCTGTATACCCGGATTTGGATGCAGATCTACCTGCAGATCTCCTACTGAAAGTGCTGCAAGTGCTCGATCCTGACAGGAAGCTGGAGGACATATGGGCCTACTGCGAGGGCACCAGGGAAAGGATAAAGACCCCCCAAAAGGTTTGTAAAACTTACCCTGGAAAAGTCTACCTGGAACCTCCCAAGAAGACTCCTGGGATATGTCCTGACAGTGTGCTTCGTAAAGAAAAAAAGCCAAGAAAAAAGGGTTCACGGAAACGTCTTTCTCGTAGGAGAGTTCCGGAAAGAGTTCGTGACTTCTGCAACTGGGTTGCTGGTTTTGGAGACTTGGGCATTGATGAAAACTTCTTCATGCAACTATTTGACAAAAGTTCTGAGTGCGACCGAAATAATAAAGTACCTCACATTAAGAAAATAGGTCAGATTCCTTTGGAGCTAAAGTACAGCATGGAGCTAAATGAAACCGATCAAGTAAATTTCTCCATAGAAGAAACAAACTGGGAGAGAAAACTCCAGAAAATAAAGGATCCTTATAAACCCGACCGTGAGAAGATAAGGTATGGAGCATGGTATCTGAAGCCCAAGTTTTGGCAAAAGTTAATAAATGATGAACCTTTGATTGACCCCTATATTGCTGAAGGATTTGGGAAGCCTCCTACACCAGACATTCTTGAAGAGCTTTATGGAACAATAGCTTTTAAAGATTACGTTCTAAGCAAAGGCTACGAAATGCCATCCATAATTGAGAGGCTGTTTACCAAGAAGGGATGGAAATATGACTCTATTAATACTCCCATGGAAAGAACAATACGCCTCCATGCACTCAAAGATGACGATGACGAGGAGGAGGAGCCAGTGCTGATGTCGTCACCGGAAGTTGAATAAACAGCTTTCGTTTACTACTTTACTAAATTCTCTTATTTTAAACATGGCACCAACTTTTATGATGTATGCCCCACCACAGATGTACAAACTTTGATTCAATATTATCCAGAAATTTAACACATATTATTTATAAACATTTCTAGGGACCTTCTGCTTTGGGTTTATCGATGTGTTATATATTTTATCAACTATGAAACCAATAGTCACTTATACTCTTCTCACATTTTGTAGGATTATAAATATGACATTGTATTACCAATTATTATTGAAAATAAATAAAAGCTAAATCATATGACAACAATAATAATCTACTTATTACTTGAGTGGAATCTCAAAATTATTGTACAGGTTAAAATGAGAATAATATAGGTCTACTTATTAAAATCATACTGAATCATGAGATCTATAATCAAAATTATGTGAACTCTCTTTTATAGTGAAATTATCATTTCCCCTTTCAGGTCCTATCAAGCCCCCAAACTAGATTGAAAACTACATACTTGAATTATAGGTAAAACGTGAGTTATGCTATTTTATTATATCTCCCAATTGACTATGCTTTTAAAATTTAATGATATTCACTTAAAAAAATCACTACAATTAAATATTCCCATATCATATAATATAGGTACAGATTGCAAGGAACTTCAATTCGTTGTCAAATCGAAGTACAAAATAGATTTGGGTTACTAAAATTGCACAGTAACAGCAAATAACCTCACATATCTATTCAAGTGAAACTAATCCTTACATTTCATTAGTAACAATTTAAAATTAAGTCATAAATTTAAAATAAGAAATCAAGCAACATCTTTACATTTTTAAAATAACTGCTGAAATTATCTGGGACAGGAAAATGTGTAGCTAAAAAGATGTACAGCACCAATGTGGAGTACATTTCTGCTTCCATTAATGAAGAAACTGCAATGGAATGGAAGTATATGCATATATTTCATCATTACAGGAAGGGATATATATCTGTTTAAGTATATAGATTTTCCATTTCAAATTAAATTTGTGAGCAATGTGTGTGCATGAGGACCCAAGCCTTTGATAGGTGTTTTTTTTCTTTTTTTAAGCCAAAGTCACTGATTACTTACCATACCAGTAAACAACTATCACCACTAAATTTTACCTCTGCAATAGTTTTCAAACTAGACTCCTCCACAAAGGCCTCTTTCTAAGTACAAATATGGTTAACCTCATTAGCCTATTAATTCTTGGGGCTCATCGAAATTTACTTATACACAGAAACATATCCCTGCAACATAGCCAGGTCCTTCATAGCTCTGCTTTGCACAATAATTGTTAGGTTCCACTCTGGCATTTGAGATCTTGTTTCCTTGCCTTCTCCTCCAAAGACAATTCTGTTATTGGTTTAATTAATTAAGATCCTATGTTTTTAGACAAGAACTCCTAATTTTCCACCTGCCTTCTACTAAAAAACTCATTCTAATATGCTGCAGAAATGAATCACTAATCACTTCAATATCAAGGAAATTGCTATACTTACTTGTTCAGACATCATAAAGCTCAATATTATGACCAATGCCTCAAATTTATCTGGTTTCTGTGACTCCCCATTCAAGTCTCAGGTTCCAAGTACAGCAGCTTTTACCCTTATACATTCATTGTTCAGTTTTATAAGATATAGTTTCCTCATATTAGTTATGTGATCGTGAATTCCTCAGAAAAATGTCTCCTTATACATAATATGGAAACCATATCATCATGCTCAAATTGTGCTGAGAATTAATGGATTGCTTGACATAAATGCCCAATACAAATAGTATCACAGAACAAATCTATACATATACACTTGTGAAAGAACAGAAGGTAGAAAGACGAGGGCTAAGAAGGCACAAAGAAGCCCCCCAAAATGTTTTAATTGTGTTCTCCTTGTATGGCAGCCTTTAACTAAATCTCCTTCAACCTTAGCTGTTGATTAAGATGAAAATGTGTATTATGCAAAATAAGCATCACTAGTAAAGCTTCACTATAAAGCTTCCTATTGCTTGCTGGTGATGGTAACTTCCAGGGAAGTCATCAAGCATAAATCAAGAGTGTAGATTGTCTTTAGGAATACAGGTAAACATGATCAGGATGTACTCCTTTCTGGGACAGTCTGGTAGGACTTAAAGACAGATCTAAATTTAGAATTTAACCTGAGAAAGGATTGTTCAAAGGAGGACTTAATGATTTGCTTTTTTATTTGAGATGCTGACTAGAATGATCATGCTGAAAAAAATGAGGATGTGGATTGTTTTTGATGGTTTTCTTTCTATGATCAAAAAAATTTCTTTGTAACAGGTAACCATAAAAGTTTTGGTGTAACCATGGAAAATTGTTAAAGATTTGCTTCAATTTCCATACTGATGGAAATTGTTTAAATAAAGAACTGCTGAAGTTTTCAGCAGGAGATATTTGCACCAGCTAGAGTGTCAGTGTCTGCATCAATTGCTCATCTTGCCCATGTTGCCTCATCCTTCGGGTAAAAGACCCCTGACCGCCACCTGTCAAAGCTAGACTCTGACTTCTGGTGTGGTCTCCAACAGATTTCCCCACTACTGTAGTTACCCTCATTGGTGTTAACATCATGCAAAAATAAATCAGAGCAGTATTTTTTTTTCTACCACCAGTGAAACTAAAAATCCACTTGACCTCAAATTTATAGTTTATAAGAAAGGAAATTCAAGAGAGCCTGATAGATAATTATGTTAGTAAAGCCTTCTAGTTCTCAAAGCACATTCACAATCTGGAATTTTTTTTTTCTTTTTTTGAATTTTACAACAAAAGACACCCCCAAATATTTATATCTCCACTTTACAAGTGAGAAAACCCCAAATTACTTCACATATAGAAAATATGTGGTGTGAGTCTTCCAATTGTGGATATTATTTCCATACTGACATTCAACAATATCATAGACAATGAAATATTCACGATGAAATCTTGGACACCAACCATAGAAAATGGGGTAAGAACATGTGCAAGAGGCCTCTATGTAATGAATAATAAAGATGTATGTTCATTTCCTAAAATCAGTTGTATCCTGCTGTTCAATCTTGACTGTTACAGCAAGATTGTACAATTGTTGGTTATGTGCAGGAATGGGGTAAGTTCTGCTCTGGCAAAAGAGCCACACACCAACTGGAAACAGATGTACAGTCAATGACATCTGTGCTATACTCTCCTATCATAACAGATAAGGATATTGTTATCTTTGTTAATCTATCACTAGAGAAACTAAGGAATCTTAGTAAATTGTGTCTAAGAAAAATATTTATTTTATATTTAACTTAAGTTATAATTATACTAATTAAGCTACATATAAATCCATATTTATATACTAAGTATTTATAACTTATTCTGCATCATGAGGTAGAAATTGTTAGCATATGGAAGAATTGAAAGTTTTACAAAATGAGAAAACTATGATTTCTTAATTATCCTTCATTTGTTGTTTTGTTTTTGCCTAAATGCAGAGCACTGAATTTTGAATGAAAGTGCATATTATTAAAAAATAAATATTTCACAACATCCTGTCTTCCTTTTGAAAATATGTTTTCTATTTGCAGCAACCCCAGGGAAACAAACACTGTATAATTATTAAACAGGTTAAATATATTAAAATTGTTTTATAAAAATATGCTTAGATTAGGAAAGTAGGTTATAGTAGGCTCTAGTAAATTTGCACTCTTAAAATTTCCTGTGGTGAAGTATATGTCCGTGTAGGTCTCTAATTTAAGCTAAACAATCCCACAAAATTGATGGTGTATTACATAAATACTGTAAAATTACATTGTATTACATTGTTGCATGACACATAAGCGAAGTATTGGAGTATTCGCTTAGTAAAGACCAAAAAAAAAAAAAAAACTTTTCATTGCTAATAAACTGCATAAGGAAATTTAAAGTGCATGGCCTTTGAACAAGCCAGGATAAGATAATATTCCAGCCCTGCCATGTTGTTATCCTGTGATGACAGTTCAGTTGCTTTGCAGAATGTTACTTCGTCTAATCTTGGAATAATAACACCTGTTTCACAGCGATTTTGAAGAGTAAATGAGGTATGAATGTTTAGAAGTCTTGGTCATCAATTTAATTTCCTTCTTCACTTGGCAATAAGAAATATCGTGTGAAACATGAAAAACCTCCTTGCTTTAGATTACTGAAGTATAAAGAGGAAAGTTAAGGAAACATACAGAACTCAATTAATTTATCTAATTTTAACGTTTAAATTGAATGCATCTGACCAAGAAACTACTGAACTGATTTGGACTATTCAGCAGCCTTACCCAATTAAGACACGTCTTAAGTTGGACTTCATAGAAAACACTGCAAGATGAAATTGCTCTCAAGCCCACTACTTTTCAACAAGTGCAATGGGAACTGAGCGAAGCGTAACTTATTGAACATTATTCTGACATTATCGGAACTATTCCCTATGCTAATATTCAAAAACATATTTTCAGGCATTGGCCTGGGGATTGTATTGAAAAACTTAAATCATAATCTTGTCCCACTGACTTTCACATTTTCAAACTCTTGACAGGAGTAAGGAGGAAAATAATGTCATAATTATCATAAATCACACAGTATTTTCCAGTTACTGAATGTTATAGAACTAAAAACACCCCATGTTAAGGGTAATTTCTTATCTAGATGTATGTGGAAATATATCTGTTCTATAGCATCTAAACAGCAAGTTCAATTTGACTTCTTTCAACCCTAAAGTATATTTTTAGTCAGAGAAAATGAATGACTAGATCATTCAATACAATGAATGATTACAGTTATACTTTGCTAGCTTTAGGAGCTGGGTTGTGTGCTTATGAGTATGTGTGTGAGCTGAGGTTGACAACACAATGCACACATCAAAGGCAACATTGAGAGGCTTCATTCTTCAATAACACTTGGTGAAAAGGTGTTATTCTCATTTGATAAATTTAACACGAGGGTCAATGTGAGTATTACTGTACGCATCTGGTAGTATGGGA